GAGGTGCGTGATGGCGTGTGTAGACTATGATTGGGCTATGGTTGGTAGCGTTGTGTGCGGCACGAAGCGGGGATGATGAATATATGATTGTTTTGGGATTTGGGTATTTTGAGAAAACTAGAAAAAACAATACAAGCAAAGAACAAGATTGAAGATGAGAAACCCAAAAAATTAAACCATGTGATTTGATACCATGTTAATATAATTGTATAAAGAATGAGAGAAGAGATAGAGAATAGAGAATCTATGTATATTGAATAATTTTGAATATATTGTATTTAACTATTACATACAAGAGGTGGACTCTTTATACGACTTATATGAAGTGTTATATTGTATTTAACTATTACATACAAGAGGTGGACTCTTTATACGACTTATATGAAGTGTTAACCAAAAAACGATAACAACAAAGAAATCTATAGAAATATGGAAACCTAACAATTATGGAAAATAATATATATTAAATATTATTTAACACAGACATTATAAAAATATATAAAAATGTATAAAAATGTGTATATAATTCATATTTTTTAAGGGGTGTGTACTATAAAATTGCCATATTTATATATACATATTAGGAAAGAAACAACGCAACACTACCAAGTAAAATTATATATCAGTTTATTTTTAAAAAAATAATTATAGATTAATAAAAAAAATTATTAATATCAATCTAGGTTTTGACGGAATTGAGGTGGCTGCTGTGCAGGAGTGCACAACAGCCACTGCTGTGCAGCCAATTGGGCCCTTTTCGGGATCCATTTTCATAATCAAAACCGTTCACATTTTAGAATACATCAAGTAGAATATACCTGTAAAAAATCAAGTTAATCGGATATCGTTTACCCATTCATCCACTCACATTTGTATTCATTTTAATACTTTAAATTACAATTGTTATTTATTTTTGTAGATACAAATGTGAGTGGATGAATGGGTAAACGATATCCGACTAACTTGATTTTTTACAAATATGTTCTACTTGATGTATTCTAAAATGTGAACGATTTGGATTATCAAAATGGGCCCCGAAAATGGCCCAATTGGATGCACAGCAATGGCTACTGTGCACCCCCGCACAGCAGCCACCCCAATTCCGGTTTTGACACTGTCACGTGACATAATTATGGATTATCATATGTATGGCAGTTATCAAATCCACATCAAACACTACATTAGTGTTTTATATTGTGCAAAACACATCAAGAAATGAAATCTTATTGATATAGAAGTCTTAAACAACTGGAGATTGTTTGTGATAGAACTTCTGCATCACTCAAACTACTTGCTAGGTAAAACACTGGCTTTTATAAATAGACTACACTCTTATGGATTGAGGTACGTTGTTGAATATTGACAATTTGTTCATTAAATATTTTTATAATATTGGAGTACTAACTTAGGCGTCAGAGGACCCCCAACCGTTCAATAGTTGGGGATGTTCAACAGTTGGGGATGTTTCGTGGTGGCTTTGATCATCATCTTCGTTAGATTTCTTTATCAACATGTAATTTTTCTTGTATTCGTATAATAGATTTTTAGTAATTTTATACATATATTTTTAACATTATATTGGGTTGTAATTTTCCCTAGTACCAAAAGACCTAACCCACGGGATACATTAACTTTGGCCTCGTTTGGGGAGTAACTATTTTAGCCAAAAAGTTAAATAGTCACTATAAGTTGTCACATCACTCTTTTTATTTTCTATATATCTTTTCTTAAAAAGTCAAAAAATTATTAAAATAGGTTGTTCCCAAACGAGACTATTGTATTGAGAAAAGCATAAAAGGTTGACTTGTCAACCATTCGCTCGCAAGGGCAAAAATGTAAAAAGCCATTTTTGTTAGAGCATCTCTTGGAGATGTTAATTTTATATGTGTTTAAGTGTGTTATGTGACAAAAAGTGATAAAAATAAGATCTAAAACTATGTCTTAAAAGTTTATTAATTTAGAGAGTGAATGGTAGTACAATGAATGTGTTAAAGTGTGTGCTAAGAATATATAAATATATATAAATAATAAATAAAATAAATAAATAATACAAAAAAAGTGCATTGGGCTCCAGCCCACTACACTGTCAGTGTGCTGTGCCAGTCCCTTCTCTCCCTCTCTCTCTCGTATTTATTACGTTTAGAAAAAAAGTATAATAAGAAGTTTTTTTTTAGTGTTACATTTGAGTGATACATTAAAATGTTACAGATTAAAATTATACATTTGCTCAAAACTTATTAAGGAATTTTTGTATTCCTTTTGAAATAGGGGGATTTGGTGATAGCCCCTCACTATCTAATTTGTCTTTCAAAAGGACAAGAATTATATAAGTACTTTCAAAACCCCCTAATATTTTAAAACTTATTTCTTTTACTATATTACCCTCATATCTATCAGCTCTCCTATTAAGCCATCTTCACTGTGTATTTCAGAGTAAAATTTTACTTTGTATAAAAGTAAAATTTTACTCTGAATAAGAGTAAAATGTTACACTCTGAATCTAAAAGTAAAATTTTACTCTGTATAAAAGTAAAATTTTACTCTAAAAAACTAGTAAAATGTTAGACTTTGCACAAAAGTAAAATTTTATTCTGAAAAACGAGTAAACTGTGAGACTTTGAAGCTAAAAGTAAACTTTTACTCTGTATAAAAGTAAAATTTTACTCTGAAAAACTAGTAAAATGTTAGACTCTACACAAAAGTAAAATTTTATTCTGTATAAAAGTAAAATTTTACTTTGTACAAAAGTAAAAAAGCGAGGGCAGTGTTTGTGGCGGCTGAAGTGTTTGGCAATGACTACCTCTTGACAGTAAAATTTTACTGTCATTTTAACACCAGAGTAAAATTTTACTCTCATTATCTGAAACAAAAAACAGAGCAATAGAATTTTACTCTGGTTCTATCAAATGAAATTAGATAAAAAAACAACAAAAATAAATCAGGAAAAAAAAAACAAACAAACAAACAAAAACAAAACAAATTAATTAACAAATCAACATATCTAATTGAGAATAAAAACTTCTAAAACTCGATCAACAATCACAAATCTCAATGAAAAGAATACATGTGTTCAACAACACTCATACACACAAATATATATATATATATATACATACATATATTCAAAACTCAAATCTGTGTTTAAAAAAATATGTATAACCAAACAACTCCACCAAACATGCCTCAATTTAGAGACGATCTGTTTCTCCTTGTAGACGATCTCCTTCGATTCCGGCACCGGAGGACAATTTTTCG